TACAACAGGTATGGTTTAAGTTTAGGTTTGTGAGTATACTACCAATCTATTATTTGCACAATGCATACATACACTTGAAATGAAAATTGCGCTAGCAATACGAAATTACAAACACGGCAAACCCAACAACGATACTGAGATGCTGGCATCATAGGTAGTCCACAACCGGGCAATAGTATGCTCCTTTTAAAACCCTGTAGAAAGAAGAACGACAAAATGTTAAGGAGATAATCAAATGCTTGTTCCCCACCACAGTGTGTTAGAATCTAGATGTGAACGAGAATGAATGAACTAGCAAGCAGGCGGGTACAAGTAGGAGAACCTAAAAGTGTTGTACCCCATATTGTCTACCCCACTACAGCCTACAGAGACTATAGCATATGAGTTTGACACACCCCCATAGGCAAAGTGGGGGAGAACAAGAGGTCACAAGACCAGTCAAGCAAAGCAAAGCAAGCTCAGGGTGGATCACAACGTCACCACACAGTCCGAGCACAAGTTCAAGGCCACAAGGCCAGTTCACATGCAAGATCATATATAAAGGTAAACAAGCAACTGCAGGTATAGAAAGATCACAGTACAAGCAAGGTCAAGAAGTAAGCAAGTGAGGCCAAGTAGGCACAAGACCTAGCATCGTACAGAAGCGCTGATGATCACAAGGTGGAAGTGCCTTGGTAAAGATATCAGCAGTGTTGGCCTCAGAGGCCACGTAAGCAAGGCGCAGCTGACCACGCTGCTGCAGCTCACGAACAAGGAAGTAGCGCAGAGCAATGTGATTCGTGCTGTGCTCCAGTTTGTGCTCCCGACACAAGGCCAGCATGGCCTTGTTGTCTACGTACAGAACTGGAGGAGAACGAGGCGGCTCTCCTAGGTCAGTCAGCAGGTAAGTGAGCCAGCGTAGCTCCTGGGCAGCCATGGCCCCCGCGTAGATCTCAGCCTCACAGCTGGAGCCGAGAACAGAAGACGAGCGGGTAGACCGCCACGAAACAGAGCCGGAACCAAGGCTGAAGGTGTAACCCTGTGACGACCGCTGCGTAGCCTGGTCGTCAGCCCAAGAAGCGTCTGCGTGACCTGTGAGGACCACTGAACGTCGCCCTCGAAGCCCTAGCCCCATGCCCGACGTACTGCACAAGTAGCGCAACACCCTCTTTGCTGCAGCCATGTGCTCTGGTCGGTGTCTCCCAGGAGCAACATAGCGTGCCAAGATGCTAAGAGGGTATGCAAGGTCAGGTCGAGTGCAGGTCATCAGGTACATGAGGCAGCCAACAAGCTCTGGGTACGGGCCACTCGGCTCTACGGACTCATCCGAAGGCAGAGCTGAGAGCGAGTGGCGAGTAGACAGAGGAGTGGCCTGAGGCGAGGAGTACGTGAAGGCGAAGCGCTGAAGGACCTGCTGCACCATGTGTGACTGAGTCAGGGTAATGGTGCGCTGTGCTCTGTCCCGGGTGATCTGCAAGCCAAGGTAGCTGCGCAGTTCACCCAGGTCTGTGCACGTGTGTCTCTTCTGCAGCTCGGACTTCACGTGGGCGAGTCCAGCAGTGTCAGCAGTGACAAATACCAAGTCTTCGACGTACACGAGGATGTAGAACGGCGGCAAAGAGGTGTCGGTGCGCAGAAACAGCGACGGGTCGGCAGTAGAAGGAGCAAACCCAAGAGCCGCAAGTGTAGTCCTCAGTGTGTCGTGCCACTCACGGGGCGCCTGGCGGAGACCGTAGACTGGCCGCCGGAGGCTCCACTGGGTACCAGGGGGAAACGACCCAGTGAAGCCAGGTGGGCGGCGCAGCCAGATCTCCTCGTGCAGGCTGCCCTGCAGGAAAGCTGTGCTGAAGTCAAGAGAGTGAAGCTCGTAGTCGCGCTGAGCGGCTATGTGTAGCAGCACCCGAAGAGTGGTCATCTTCGGGGTGGGAGAGAAGGTCTGAAAGTAGTCAACTCCCTGCCGCTGACTGAAGCCTCGAGCCACGTAACGCGCCTTGAAGACAGGCGGAGAACCCGGCGGCCGCTTCACCCTGAAAATCCACATGCCACTGACGATGTTCACCCCAGGTGGGGGAACCTCGTCGACGTAGGTGCCTGTGGACTTCCAGGAAGCCATCTGTGCGTCCATGGCTGACTGCCACTGTGAGGAGTAGGGACCCTCGATCGCCTCAGCGTACAATCGAGGAGTCGGGATGTTTGGTGCATCCGGGTCTCCCTTAGGGGCAATCAGCGTGGACACGAGATGAGGCAAAGCAGCAGCAAAACACTGGAACTCCTCCTGCCTGTCCTCAAGGACGTCCGTGCTAAGAGCACACTCACCCCCGACGGACGGAGGACAGACGGACTCAGACTCAGCAACAAGACAAGCAGCGTAGTCTAGACGACAGCGAGCAGCAAAGTCGACAAGCTCAGCAACCAAGGCAGACGCAGCAGTGGACTCAAAGGAAGGGTCAGTGACAACAGTGGCCAGGAGACGCGTGAGAGTAGGACTGGAAGCACGAAGAGAGTCAGACTCCGGGTCAGTAAGGACAGGAAGAGAGGACTCTGGAGGAGACGGCAACGGGACACGCAGAGGAGCAGTGGAAGGACGCAGTGCCATCTGGTGTGTGCCCGAGACCGTAGGAGGACGCGGACGCGGAGCACGACTACTAGTGCGAGCAGCACGAACAGGCGACGCAGGACGAGACGCAGGCTCACGACGCTCAGCAAGACCTCCAGTAGGACCAGTGTAGGGAGAAGGAGCAGGTAGGGGGGAGGCGGGCTGTAACTGTGACCGCGACTGGACAGGTTGTGGACACTCTAAGGGAGGAGCAGGACCAGTAGAGGGCGGGAGACCAAGAACCTGCTCAAGGAGCGGAACGAAGTACGGCCGCGGCCGCGCAGTGCCTCCAGAACCAGCAGGGACAGCACCAGTACCCCCAGCGGCAGCACCAGCGCCAGCAGCACCTCCAGCTCCAACAGCGTCAACTCCAGCACCCTCAGAAGCACCAGCGCCAGCAGCACCTCCAGCGCCAACACCCCCAGCAGCTCCAGCAGCACCAACTCCAGCAGCACCGTCAGCTCCAGCAGCCCCAGCAGCACCCCCAGTCCCAGCAGCTCCAGTACCGCCTGTACGAGCACCTCCAGGACCAGTGGCTCCAGTAACTCCAGTGCCGACCCCAGGGTCAGCAGTAACAGCAGCACCTCCAGCTCCAGCAGCACGGCTCCAGCGCCGGGCAAACCACTCGCGCAGCTCCTGTGGAGAGGGTAGCTCCCGCCTCGACGAAGCACCCAAAGGGGCCCCAAACCCAGCACCGCCAGAGGCCACACGAGCAGACCCAGCACCCCCAGGCTCTGCACCCCCAGGCTCAGCACCCCTAGGCTCCGTACCCCCAGACTCTGCACCCCCAGGCCCAGCACCCCCAGGCTCCGCACCCCCAGACTCAGCACCCCCAGGCTCAGCACCCCTAGCAGCACCAGAGTCAACAGCTACCTCGACAGGCTCGACTGCGTCTACCTGGGACACACCTGACGGGGAAGGACCCTGAGGGGGGAGGGGGTCTACCGAGGGAGGACCTGGCGCAAGGAAGAGCGGCGGCGGGGGGAGGGGCGCAGTGCGGTAGGGGAAGAGACGGTAGTAAGGCACCGACTCGTCAAAGGTGGCGTCCTGGGAGGACAGAACACGGTGCGAGGTGGGGTGGTAAAACTGCCAACCAGGCGCGTCAGGGGGGAAGCCAAGGAAGACGCAGGGAACAGCACGGGGGGACAACTTGTCCGCAGACAAGTCGCGGACAAACGCCCGAGATCCCCAGACACGAAACGCAGACGCATCGCCAATCTTCCCCGTCCACCGCAAGGTGGGGGAGGTCTCTAGCAAGGAGACCCGGGGCTGAAGGTTGATCTGATGCGCTGCGTACTGAACCGCAAACGGCCACAGAAAATGGGGAGCAGCCGCATGGATCATGGACGTACGAGTGACGTCCATGACCATGCCAATGCGGCGCTCAGCAATCCCATTTTGCTGTGGAGAGGCCGGAAGCGTGAAGGTCTGGTGGATGCCCTGTGCACGACAGAAGGCTCCCAGAAGGGCAGAGGAAAACTCCCCGCCTCTGTCAGAGTGCAGACGCAGAACAGGAAAGTCCGAGCCGAAACTCTCTCTGAACTGGAGACGAGCTGCGCGGATCCAGTCGATCAACACCTTAGTGACGTCACCCTTGCTGCGCAAGGGGAACACCGTGGTGTAACGCGAGTAATCGTTAACCACCAACAGGAAGTAACGCTCGTGACCCTGGCCACAGACGCGGGCGGGGCCCCACACGTCCATGTGAAGAGTCTGAAGCGGAGCCTCTGTCGGAGGAAACTCGGAGGAGTGAGGGGCGGCGCGCTGCCGCCCTTCGACGCAGGGAACGCAGGTAGGGGCAGGCCCCAGAGGGAGGGAAGGGAGGGACCGGGGGAGACCAGAGACAAGGACACGGGAGGCCATGCCTCGGAGACGAGGCAGGGAGGGGTGACCAAGGCGGTGGTGCCAGAGGAGAGTCTGGTGGGACAGGAGACGACACGAGCAGGGAGCAGACTCAGGACCAGACCTGGACGCTGCAGCAAACACCTGACCCGACGCAGCTACCTGACCAGACTCAGCAACCGGAGGAGACTCAGTAGTCAGTGTGTACAGGCTCGACCCCGGCCGACGGGTAAACGTGGCCAAGTGTCGGCCCGTCCGAGCACACGTACAGTGGGTCACCCGCTGACTCGCAGGAGTGAACTGGTCAACCCCCCCATCCTGTAGATCAGCACCACTCACCAAGTTTGTAGAGAACGAGGGGAGGTAGAGACCTGACAGGGTGCCAGAGGGGGCTGCCGGACACGGTAAGACAGTGGAGAAGCGAGCAAGGACAGGACCCCCAGAGGGGTCCGCCAGGGAGACCGCAACCGGTCGACTAAGCGGCGTAAGCGTGGTGCGGTCTCGAAAGAAGGAGCGGGAAGCACCTGAGTCAAGGGTGAAGGTGTGTAAGGCCTGAGCCGACGTGGTACCTGAGAGAGCAGACTCACCAGCACCTGGGGCAGCAGACGCACTAGCACCTAGAGCAGCAGCCTCACCAGCACCTAGAGCAGCAGCCTCAATGCCCGGGTCAGGCGGAACACACAGGTAACAGTCACCCTCATCACTAGTAGATCCGTCAGGCGGCCGAAGCAGCGCTGGGTGGAGTGCGAGCCCCCGCACTGCTCACCAGCGCGGTCGCCGGTACGGAGGACGTAGGTACATGGACCAGTACCCCCACCTCGCTGACGCCCAGCGTACCACTCACGAAGCTGCTGGGGGGACGGGGTTTCACGAGTGCGCTGCTGCTGCTGGCGCTGACCACCACCGGAGCCACTCCTCTGTGCAGAGCCGCGACCAGCTCCACCGCCGCCGCCGCCGCCTCCGCCACCTCCGCCGCCTCCGCTCCCACCGCCACCGCCTCCGCCTCCTCCGCCTCCACTGCTGCCACCGACACCTCCACCCCCACCACCACTCCCACCACCACCCCCACCCCCTCCACTGCCTCCACCGCCACCTCCACTGCCCCCGCCAGCCCCTCCAGCGCCCTTGCCCCCCTTGCCCTTGCCGGTGCGGCGTCTCCCGCTAGGGGCAGACGCAGCGCCGACCGACTCGAAGCCAACGAGGTCGGCCGCAGCAGCAGAAGCAACAGAGGGCAAGAGGGGGGAGGGGGAACACCCCTCAAAGACGGGGGTACGAGGGTCACCACGAGAGGCTCCTACAGCGACTATGCTCTTCTCTGCTGCCAAGAGGCGCTCCTCGAGGAGGTCAACGGTGAGTATGGTGGGGCAAACTGAGAGGAAGTGGTCCTTGACTAAGCGAAGGGAGTCAGGGAGCCGGGTGACTATGTAGTAGAGGGTGATGTACATGGGGGGAGGGTTTTTGGCACAGAACTCAGCAGGAAGCGCAGCGCGGTAGCGAGTGTCACTAGTGCGAAGGTGCGTAATGAGATCAGCGACTGTGGGAAAGGCAGCAAGGTCAGGGAACAGGTACGGCAGCATGAGGCGACTAAGAGCAGCAGTGGCAGGGGAAGAGTAGCGTGCAACTACAGCGTCGTACAAGGTCTTAGCACTCTTGTACTGACTAAAGTGCGCACGCTCAGCGGCCGGTAAGTGGCGACGCACAGCAAGACGGGCAGCAGCATCGCGTGTGGCCCACTGTGAGCGAACAGTGGTGTCAGCATCAGCAGGCGGGGCAGGAGAGGCACCAGAGGTGAGATCGAACAGGGAGAATCCGTCTGCCCTATCGCACTGTAGGAAGAGCTCGAGGTCATCGACCCAGACCTCAAAGTCAACAGCACGACCCTCAGCATCAAAGGTAAGGACACTGGGGGTAGCCATGACAGCAGTGGTCTAGCAGGGAGTGCTCTCACCAGTCCGGGTGGGTAGGGCCGGTGCGCGTCGGTAGGAACAGTAGAGGCTCGACGGCGGCTCGGCGGCTCCGTGGCTCGGCTCGGTGGCTCGGCGGCTCGGCTGCTGGGCGGCTCGGCTGCTGGGCGGCTCGGCTGCTGGGCGGCTCGGCTGCTGGGCGGCTCGGCTGCTGGGCGGCTCGGCTGCTGGGCGGCTCGGCTGTTGGGCGGCTCGGCTGCTGGGCGGCTCGGCTGCTGGGCGGCTTGGCTGCTCGGCGGCTCGGCGGTTCGGCTGCCTGGCAGCTGAAGGGGCTGTGAAGGGCGGCGACGGGGCCGCTAGAGGCGGCGACGGGGCCACTAAGGGTGGCGACGGGGCCGCTAGAGGCGGCGACGGGGCCGCGAGAGGCGGCGACGGGGCCGCGAAGGGCGGCGACGGGGCCGCTAGGGGCGGCGACGGGGCCGCTAGGGGCGGGGACGGGGCCGATAGGGGCGGCGACGGGGCCGCTAGGGGCGGCGACGGGGCCGCAAAGGGGCCACGAGGGGCCTCGAAGGGCGGCGACGGGGCCGCTAGGGGCGGCGACGGGGCCGCAAAGGGGCCGCGAGGGGCCTAGAGGGGCGGCGACGGGGCCGCGAAGGGGCCGCGAGGGGCCTAGAGGGGCGGCGACGGGGCCGCAAAGGACGGCGACGGGGCCGTAAGGGGTGGCGACGGGGCCGCTAAGGGTGGCGCGAGGGGCCGTGAGAGGCGACGTGAGGGCGGCCAACGGGGCGCGCCTCGGGCAGGGGCGACTCGCGCTCCGGTCAGGAAAAAAAGTCGATTTCAGTGGTGGGCCCTGAGAAGCGTTCCCACTAGGGAACCTGCTCTATACCATGTGAAGAAATGAGGAATGAATGAACTAGCAAGCAGGTGGGTACAAGTAGGAAATCCTAGAAGTGTTGTACCCCATATTGTCTACCCCACTACAGCCTACACAGACTATAGCATAAGAGTTTGACAAGTTGGTGCAGCACGATTTGCTCCTTCAAGTTTGCGAAGGCGTTGTCGCTTGTGGATGCGATACCTCGCGTAAGTTTTGGGAACAACTGCCTCGTGGATCACAATAGTAGAACTGCCCTCGTTAAGTTCGGCGTCGTCTGAGTCAACCGTAAGTGCCAACTGGTCTTGTGACATAATTTTCTGCGAGCAGCAAACTTAGTAAGGCTTAAAGCAAAGAATAGACAGTAAAAAGCCTCCTGTATTACTTAGATCTCAACAATCCGAGCTCAAGAACTTCAGAAGTAGAGTAAAACAAACATGTTTCGGTCGTTAAGGGGCGACTCTAGCAGGCCTTGATCAGTGCTAATGAAAAAAGCAGAGCTAAGCTACGCTTCAAGAAGAAACGAAGCATCGGAAAAACTGATCTCTAGGTACAGGGCCCACGATATCAGGGCAAAACATCCTGATTACCCTAATTTCAGGATGGTGTTTTAAGTTTGCCCTGAAATTTCAGAATGATGCTGAAATTTACCTTGTGACGTCAGGATGATCCATGTGTTTTGCCCTGAAATTTCAGAATGGCAGTGAAATTTTGCCCTGAAGCATTAGGGTGAATGTAGAGGGATGCCCTGACTCGTGGGAAGGGGAGAAGGGGTGGAGGAGGGAGAGGGGGAGAGGGGGAGAGGGGAGGAAGGAGGCTGGAGGGTGTGTGTGCTAGTTTTGTCCCCACCCCTCCCCCACCAATGTTTTTGCTCAGCCAGTAGAAGTGAAACCAGTGAACAACCTGCTCCTTTCGTGCCTTCCCCTCCATCCTCTATAGTGCCTTGTATTTTTTGCCCTGAATCATCCAGATGAATTTCCGCTGGTGCCCTGAAATTTCAGGATGGCCAGGAAATTTTGCCCTGAAAAATCAGGGCATTTCAGAGATTTTTCAAAAGTTACACTGAGGGCTCAGGGTGCCTTAAATCCTGGCATAGGCCCTGTCTAGGTTATCTACTCCAGGTAAGCCTGAAAAACGGGGACCAATCCATGTCACCCTTGAAAGTTTCTCAAGTGACCACGTCTTCAATCCTTGGAGCGTCTTCGTTGAAGTTTGAATTCGCATCTTCGCCAGGCAGCAACTGTAGAAGTCGCGCGCGTACCAGTAGCCTATTAAGGTTACAACCAATTTTCCATGCAACAAACAACCTCTCCACATATAATCCGCGTATAATGAGTGGAGTTTTTGTTGAAACAGTAGCTAGAACGCAGGAGCCATAGCTAGGGTTTAGCAAGCTAGGCAAGAGAGAATAGGCAAAAGAGAAAGGCGCACTAGAAAGCAAGAGTGGTACAAAATAGCAAACCCTAAAAGGGTTATACTCACTATTGAGTACCCCACTGCAGACTAGACAAACATAATATTCTGACACACCCCCATAGTCAAAGTGGGGTATAATCAGCACAGCAAGCAGTCATAGAGCAGGTTCACAAGTACAAGCAAGGCTAGAGGCAGTCACAGAGGGCAGGTGACGAGGAGGAGGGACTGTGAGAGGAGTGGAGATAGGAGGCGACGGGTGAAGCCGCATACACACGGGCAACAGGAGGGGCGCGCACCGTGGCTACCGGAGAAAGGGCCCTGGACTACAAGAGTAACTGGCTCCGCGGCTAAGATGAGCGGCAGGAGCAACGGACCCACAAGCGACTGGCGCAGCGACTGGCTCTCTGGGCTACCGGAGCACGCCGGCTCCGGACTACTGGCGCTGCTGGCGACACGACGGCTACCTCCGCTCAACCTCCCCCAACTGTCCCACCCCCCTTTCACACAACCCCTGCTGCACCCCTAGCTTCACTCCCACAGCACCCCCCTAGCACCACTCCCTCGACTCCCACACACCCACCCCCCTCAGCGGCAGCTGCAGCAGTGGGAGACGGAGGAGGAGGAGGAGCAGGGGACGGCTCACACACCCGCCACCCCCATACGCGAGACCCCACACCCCCAACGCAGACGGCGCGCGCGCGACGTGGGGCAGAAACGCGGGCAGCAGCTGGGGCGGCTTGCGAGCAGAAGTGGGGCGGCGCGCGGGTCCCTGGGGCGCTGCGACGGGCGACGGGCAGGGCGGCGCGCGGGCCCCCAGGGCACCGCGACGGGCGACGGGAGGAGGAGGCGACGCGCGGGCCCCCAGGGCGCCGCGACGGGCGACGGGTAGGGCGGCGCGCGGGCCCCCGGGGCGCCGCGACGGGCAACGGGAAGAGGGGCGACGCGCGGGCCCCCGGGATGCCGCGATGGGCGACGGGAAGGGACAGCGCGCGGGCCCCCGGGGCGCCACGACGTGCAACGGGAAGGGGGGCGACGCGCGGGCCCCCGGGACGCCGCGACGGGCGACAGGAGGGGACAGCGCGCGGGCCCCCGGGGCGCCGCGACGGGCGACGAAACCGCCGCGCGCGGCGGGCAGGAAACCGCCACGCGCCCCGAGCAAGTGGGGGGGCAGAAAACCGCCACGCGCTCAGGGCGCGTGGCGGGAAGAAAAAAAGAGCGTCGCGCGCCACGGGGCGCGCGACAGACAATATGGCAGCAGAAGCAGGCGGGCCCACAGGCCAGGAGCGTAACCGCTCTGATAGCATGTTGAAACAGTAGCTAGAACGCAGGAGCCATAGCTAGGGTTTAGCAAGCTAGGCAAGAGAGAATAGGCAAAAGAGAAAGGTGCACTAGAAAGCAGGAGTGGTACAAAAAAGCAAACCCTAAATGGGTTATACTCACTATTGAGTACCCCACTGCAGACTAGACAAACATAATATTCTGACAGTTTTGAGTCGACTCAAAATTCTACCCAGCTAATTTGGGCTTTGGACAGCAAAGTGAATGAACAAAACTGATCATGTCGGAGCAGGCTACAATCCCATCCACTTGCCAGACGCATGTTTGATGGTCCAAAACTTGTTCATTGTAGATGAAGTGTACCACAAATTATATGTGTAGCCAAGCCACCAAGAAGTTGACTACTCCGATGTTTGAGTTCCTCAACTCCAGGGCTATCAGTCTACGGAAATTAGCCTGAACAACCCAGCTTCTTCCTAAGGTGAAAGCCCAGCTGGCTTTACTCCAGTATCATTGCCTAGTTTAGGCCTAGGCACATTGGGTTATTTGTTAATTCCATGTTATCTCGCTATCACAAGTCGTTATACTGCGAAATTTTTTCTAACCGCAGCCGTTCTTAGTGCTGCAAGTCAATGCCGAAATCCACGACACTGACTCGCGAACGTAGATTCCAGATGAGGTGTGGTTGGGATAACGTGGATCAGTTGTCCGGTTTTGCAAGTCATGTGCATCCCAAGTATCATCTGCGGTCCAGCTTTTCTCGTCCCATTATCCGTCACCGAAGAGGATCGTGTCCCACTCGGGCTCGAAATTTAGGGAAACGCGGGCAAAGAGGTGCGCATATCATCGAAGAGGAGTCGCCCTTTCTCACTGATTGTTCCCCCTTTCAGGACGGGTGTGATCAGGTTCGACCACCAAAGAAACGGATGCACGTGGACAGCAACTGACGTCATTGAGATGGACGCTGACGAGGAAAACCACCCACTTTACTTTCTGAGGTGGACGGGGAATGTGGAAAGGGGAGGAAACAGAGGTGAAATCGATATTCGCCCCCAAATTTCCACACAATTGCGCGCTTCGCGCGTGTGAGAGTGATCACTGAGCATCGCCAGGCACCGATGACGAATTCACGCATTTCCCTTTTTCCTAGGATCCTAATCGCATGCCCGTACTGGTGAGAGGTTGTGCCTGCTGGTTCACGCATAAATAAGCGTGCAATTCACATTTTCTAATCAATCACGCTCATCTTGCCTTTAGATTTACTTACGCGGCTGCTTATTTTCACGTCCGAAGCTCTTACCCTCACAGTCTTCGACGCCATGGCAGCTCTCTCCACCTCCGCAGCGGTGTCTGCTCGCTCCCTGTCCCTTGCCGGCTCTAGCCTGACCACATCCACCCGCGCCGCCGCGCTTCCCGCATTTACCGGGCTCAGGTCAGCCAAGGTGGCCCCGGCAGCCAAGTACGCCGCCGCGCACCGCCCGTCGTGCGCCTGCGCGTCGTGCAGACAACATGGCGTCGTCATGGCGAGCTCTGACATCACCGGTATCCAGCCTGCTGCCGCCGGTGGCGCGACCTACTACGTCGTGAACATCACCTTCCCCAGCCCCGGCCCCGCCGTCGCACCCGCCGCGGCCGTCGTGACGCCCGCAACTGCCGCCGCGTCTCCCGTCGTGGACACCACCGCGTCCGTGGCGGAAAGCAACGGCTCCGCCGTGCAGCGCGTGAAGCAGGCGGCGCTGCCGGCGCTCGCGACGA